ATTATCATGTCAAGTGCACGAAATTTTCACAGTTAGTTAACAACAACAGCTGGCGATTTAAACTTCAGCTAGTTTATGAAAAGGAACACTTAAGTACGATTGTGCCGCCAAATTACTAATTTTTTGGCATGTGCGTAGTAGGGTGAAAGCTCCAATATTAGGAAAGTGAACGCTTATTTTGAGTTAAATGTTTTCTCTTTTTATGCACAAATATCGAAAATACTAGTTTTTTGGCATTTAAATTTCCATGAATTAAACCGTAAATTATTAAAAGTGAAAGCTTAAAAGGCTATTAAGGTGAAAGCTCTTTTATCGAAGGGTTTTTCTACAGCAGTAATGGGCAGAAAGAGCTTTTATCCTATGCACGTTCACACAAAATGTATAGAAAGCTTAAAATGCTCTGCACCAAGCAAAATGGTGTACATCACGGCTCTACAGTGGAATACAATATTTCAAAACTTCTCTTTTGACATTCAAATGTTACCGCAAATTAAGCTGTATGTAAATTAAAAAAGTGAAAGCTTCAAAAGCTTGTGAGGACGAAAGCTCTTTTATCTAAGGTTTTTTTTCTGCAGCACTAATGCGCAGAAAGAGCTTTTATCCTATGCACGTCCACACACACAGCCCTAGAATAAAATATTTCTTAATTTCTTTGAAAATTCCCTATTCGGAGGCCTTTAAGGAGCGAAGTGCATCGACACATTGAAAAAATAAGCAAAATACATACACAGGAAAAGAGAGGGAAAGAGGCACATTCTCAAATCGCGCATCTGCTGCAAAGTGCAAGAGACATCTATATCAGCACAACGAGCTTTGATTCGCAACATTTGCCTTATTTACCATAGTAAGCTCACGCAGCAGAATTTAGAAAAGTGAAAGCTCTTAATGCCAAACGAGACTTTCAATCAGGCATATTCAGACTTTCGAGTGGATTGCTTTATCATAGACTCCATTCCCTTTTTGATAATTATTTCACCATTTTCTGACATAAAAAAGCAATGTCTAAATATCTACGCCGCAAATCATCTAAAAACAGACCCATTCTTATCTGGAATCTCCAAAAAACCACACCACACCAAATATAGACTATTTATTTGCCAGCATTTTATTACTTTTGTTTAGCGCTTCAAGTGGTTCAACTCGTTATCGCTAGCCACAAACTGCGGTCTTGAATGATAAACATGCCGATCAAGTGAGTTCGAATAGCAAAGCAAACGAGCATAACAAATGTGAGTGAACTTTAAAAATAAGTTATCACAAAAATTAAAAATAAAAATAAAACACAAATGCGAAATAGAATTTATGGCATTAAATCAAATACATATATATAGCGATAAATGTTTTTATGGAAAATTTCATAGATAACATCAAATGCCGCTTGTTTATTTTTTAAGAATGATTCTGTGGTTTTTTTTTTGCGTACACTTGAACGCAACAGTCATAAATATCAGTGCATTTATTTGACTCTATCGGCTTTTAATAATAATTTTGGATATATTTTCAAGTGACTCATATGTATGTATGTATGCGCCAATCGATAGTGGCAACAAAAAAATCCACTTCACCTGGCTGAGCCAACTTTCATTCTTTTCGGCAAAAAACCTATCCACTGACTTGCCAACAAGTAAATATGTACTTACATATGTATGTATGAATGTAGAATCTACATTGTAGATATGCAAGTACGAAAAAAAAGAAAAAGAAAATATTGCAAAGCATAACAAATATGACAGCCGGCGTGTTGTCATTAATAACACTAATCTGCATTACGTATACGCACGGGCAACTCGGTTGTTTTGGTGGAATAGGGAGGGAGAGAGGGCAAGAAAAACGCGCAGCTGAATAGCAGGCAATAACTCACACTCACACACTCACTCTCTCTTCAACACACTCTCTACGTTGCTCGCTTATGTTTGTTTAGCAATTTGCACACTTGTTGCCGCCGTCGCCGCCACCATTATTCGTCCTGTCGCCAGAAGGGAGTACAGTAGGCCAGCAAGCAGGCATGCATGTGTGCAGCATGAGTGTATGTATGTATGAGTGTTTGTGCAAATATTTACGATGTGAATTCGCAAAAAACAAAAACTTGAAACAAAGCATGTACAAACACAGTCGTTTGGCTAAACAAATTAGAGCAAAGTGGGGTGAAGCGAAACCATAAAAATAAAAAAAAAAAACAATTAAATGGATTCGCGATAAGCGTGCGTAGCGCAGCACACAAAAATTTTCACTTGGGCACTGTGCAAACTTGTGAAAAGATTTAAAAGCATTTTAATTATTGTAGCAAAAAGTCGCTATCAGCCGCAACGCGCGTCTAATAATAGCAAGGCTGCTGTGAATGATAAAGCACGAATGTTGTAATGGTTAGTAATGCTGGCATTTATGGCGTGAGTTTGTGGTGAATAAGTGAATGAGTGGGTGAGGCAGTGAGCCAGTGAGCCAGTGAGTGAATGTACAAATGATTAAGTGAGTACATTAGCAGTAACTTCGAGAGCAGTCGTGCGGTGATAAGGGAGGATATCCGCTCTAATCGGGCCAAAGTGAATAAATATGTATTTGTATTACTTTATAGTTTTACTTGCTATAATTCTTTATCAGTACTGCCATGTGCAATTAATCACACCAACAAAACTAGCAAAATCAAGCTACATATATATGTTGTTAATGATAGTGCTCTCTTATTTTCAAAATCAACTACTAGACGTGGTAGTTAGCTTACGCAAAATTGTATAAAGCCGCATCATACGATGACTACTACTTAGTCCGTCAGCCTATCAGTCTCTCAGTCTCTTGATGGTTCTGTGAGTCAGTTGGGTAACTATAGCTACTGTATTTGTGCATTAGTGGTTGGTAGTGGTGAATAATTGGTGTGACATTTGGTTAATAGTGTTATTATTAGTGCAATATTTATTTATTTTATCAACCTGAAGAGCAATGAACAACTGAAAAACTTTATTATTCAACTTCATTTCACAACGCTCTTACTTTAAAAGCTGAGCTGAATTACACCATACATATTTGGTAGAAAATTTTCAGCTGGAGCAAGCTTTTAAACGAAGAATAATTTTAATTTTTTAGTGAATTGTAACGAAGAACGATTTCCGCACTAAATAACTGAATGCAAGTGTTGTAAATTATTACAAAAAAGATACATACATACGTATTTTGTATATCATCAGCGCTTCTTGTTAGTATAATTCAGCTGCATTACTAAGTGCAGTAAATTATTATATTTGAGTGAAAGTAATTTTTCAACTAAAAATTGCGCTGAATAGCGAAATAATCCCTTCAGCTTAGCTGAGTACCATGCCTTTGTAGATAGAATTAAAATTTGTATAGTTTGGCAGCATTAAATGTGCGCTGAATTGCTGACAATTTTATGCAGCTCAGCTTAATTGATGTAATTATACTCATTATATACTTCTCTTTTGAAAAATACGCGCTGAATTACAACAAACAATAACCTTTGCTTTACCGGGTTGAGGTTCGTTACCAAAACAGCTAAAGCTTATCGTTAAAGTGTATTCAGCACAGCTGAATATAATTTTCGACGCGCCTAATTCACATTACATCGCTAAAACTATACAACAACAGTAATTTAGAACGGCTGAACACATTTCTGCTACATCTTGTTTACTTTTATTTGCTTTACTGTTGTATATTTTTTTTAGTTTCAAATTACCTATCCTAATCAACGTTTATGCTTATTTTTTCTTTGTTTTCTCATTCTTCAATCACTTGACTTCATTTGACGTCAGTGGAAGCGTTATCAGCACAGCAATTAAAGCGCTGACTGTCTTAAGTGCCAATGTTTAATTTAATTATATTTTTTTTACTACCCTATCTTTATGGACGTATAAGCTCATACATGCATAGTATGTATGTCTTTTTATATATTTGCTTTGATACCTACATATTGTTCATCTGGAGTCCCACTCGAGTATTGCCTCAATTAATATTCGGTTATAAACTTTTATTATAAATAAGTAATAAATCTTTTCTTTTGTTTTTTTTTTTTTTGCTAAGTAAATTTAGTGATACAGCTGTGCTATTAGTTTCAAGTGACTTGCAACTGGACATACATACATACATATGTACGTATGCGACTTATTTATGGGCCCTTAAGTGAGACTTACTGCTATTTTGAAATGCTACTTGAAACCGCTATAAATATATCTAAGTGCAAATCTATAAACTCTCGCACCCTCAAACTCCAAAAGAACATCGAGTCGCTCCAAACTGCATACGAAATCATGTCAGTGCAATATTGGTGGGCTCATGAGTAAAGCTAAAACTGTTTTTTTTTTTCAAGGAAATTCCTCGAAACCAAGGCGTGATTGACAACTTACCGGTGGTTTTGCTCGAAACCAAAATAAATGCGGTAAATGACAGTTTAAATTATTTTACGCCCGTTAAATATTACTCAATAGTTCTCATCGTTTGCTTGTATTTCTGTCTATAAAATATACACACATCCATTTGGTGAATTTTAATTGACGCTTTCGGTTTTTATTCTGAAGTTCAACTGATTGGTGTAGTAGGCAATATAATTTTTTATTGACATCAGATCATAGCATACAATTGCGCAATTTTACTGTTATCATTGTTTAAGGGAAATACGTCAGAGGTATACAATTTTATGATCATACGAGGTAATTAATGAAGAATGCTTACCAATGCATAGCAAATGGCATATTCAATGCCGAAAAAGAAGAAACGCGAATAAAATTAAATTATAATTACATATGTTATAGAAAGAGCAAAAATGTACTTGTGAAAATGTTATCAGCGGAATTTCCGCTCATTTATTTGGCTGCAAATACAATTCAGCACTTTGTACTTTGTTGTCACAATGGACAATGCTGTCTCCTAGTGAAAGTATGGAATATTTCACACACGCCCTCCTTGTACTTTGGCCGCGAAAGTAGATTAAGTCCAATTATCAATGTGCGCTGAATAGCTGACATTATTCAGCTCAGCTGAATATAATAAATTGGTACACAAATTTTATACTTATTGGATTTTATAATAATGCACAGTTTATGTGCAGTTTTTTTTTTAACAATTATTGCGAGCTGAAAAGCAGAAAACTGTATTCAGCTGAGCTGAATATGACAAATTTTGTACACAAATTGTATACATATTTATTTGATTGCAGTATAATGCCTACGTGGTACTGTTGGTGTGGTAGATGGTTATAATTGAAAAAAATATTATATTCAGCTATGCTCAATATTCCTAAATCATCTGGTAGATTGAAAAAACCATATTCAGCAGCGCTGAATTTAATTTAAGTTACTTAAGTTACAATGTTTTCGTAGACTTGGCAGTTTTAAATAAATAAAAACTAAACTAATTGAAGACTAATCATCACTAAAAATATATTACAAACTAAAAAAGGCTTTTAGAACCAGAGTAACTGCATTCAGCACTGCTGAATATATTTTAAAATACTCAACACTCTATATAAAGTAATTTTTTAAGCAAAAAACCAAACCGACTTCAATTCCCATATAAAAATTTAAGATTAATTAATTAATTTCTTCACGATCCAATAATCGGATCTAAATTAAATTGGTATGGAACCACCTTACCTTTGAGGTAACACCTTTCCTTTAAAACAATTATAGAAATTATATATGTAGATCGGTTAATGTTAATACATAAAAAAATAAAAAAATAAATAAATATCCCGACCATAACCATAGCACTAGGCTAGATTTATGTACTTCAGCACTCAAATCCTCAAGCGTCAATATTAAGTAGAATTTTCGAATGGAAATCTAAAAGCCTTAGGATTTCTTTAATATGCCAAAAAGTTTCTATTTGTGATTAATTTCAACGAATTCATAGTGGCGTCAAATCGAAAGCAATAGTCACTTTTACACGCGAACATGCGAATATATACATACATATGTACATACATATCCCACTTCAGCAGCACAAATAAACAAATAATCAATTCTTCTACGTAAATTGCTGATGAAAAAATTTATTTAAAAAAATACAAATGTAAAAGCTGCTACTGAATTTATTCATATAGATACTATACAAATAAAACAAAATTATACTCCCACAATTGACGTAATATTGTATTTTACATATTCAGTTATTATAATGCCAACTTAGTCATATTTATTTTCATGTAAGTGTGGCTGTAGGTTAATTACACATAATTCAATGGAAAAGTCAACCACAGACAAAGTGACTGGTGGCCGGGTGGCCGGGTGGCTGGTTAACCAAAAATACCACACAAAAAAATATATGTATGTATGTATGTAAATAAACGTGAGCATTTCACGCTATTATTCACGCGTACACACACACATTTCAAAACACGCGAATTTATATGTATACATATGTACCTACATACATACATATATGTGTGAATAAATTTGTAAACATTTCTACAGCCATTTGGCAAGTCAGATAATTTATCTGTATGATTTATTTTTATTACTAATTACTAAGTAAATATGTATGTATATATGTATGTATCCACGAATGTTTATTACTTTTCAGCGCGCGCATACACTTACGTACATATACATACATNTCAAAAAGTAAATGTCATGGACCAATCTAACGTTTCAAATAAAGAACCGATGAGATTTTGCAAATTTTATGCGTTTTTTTTAAAAAAAAAGGTATCAAGCTCTTAAAAAATCACCCGTTACCTACATAATATACATTTGTATTATTTGTATCTATTGTAAATACCCTTTTGTTAAGCTAATCGTTGGCAATTTTTATTTTGCGGCGAAAACGAAATCTAATCGCGTGGGTATTTTCGCATTCAAATTTATAAATATGTATACATTCATACATAAGTACGAGATGTGTTGAAATACAAGAAGTTTTAATCAACCTTTATCGGTCATCTTTGGTGTAGCTACAACTGTTGCCAACCTCCAATTTTTTTGGCACGTAACTAAATTTCAAGCGTTTTTTTTTTTAATCTTATAAGCCTAAGTGTCACAGCATTAGCACCCTATTGCAAGAGCCCCGGAATGAAATCTTCTAGTATTGGTGGTCTTATTTAGTCAAACGCTGCCAAATAGGGCGGTTCAAAATAGGTGAAGTCGGAATTTTAATGCTTTCACCCCCTAGGAAAAAAATTAAACCTCCCCCAATTTTTTTTTTTTTTTTTTTTTGATTTCAAAAAATAATAGTATTTCCGTTGCATTTTCTCGCATTTTCTGGGGGTTTTGGCGGACCTATAAAATAAAGTTACTATGAAAAAATGGTAAAAAAAAATAATGGTTTATCATTATTGGGAATTTCCAGAAGAGAACAGAGATTTCCGATCGGAAAATATTGATTTTCAAGAATTCTATACCATTCCTACGAAAAGTTGTTTTTTTTTTTTCATACAAAATATAAGGAAGACTACGAGCGCTTTGAGCGACCTCTAAATATTTTTTGATTTCGAAATAAAAAAAATGGGGTATATTTTTCCAGCTTCCAGCTTCAATGTCTCTAGGGATAACGCAAGTATTCCCTAAGCTGAGGAACTAACCAAGCCAAGTCTATCATGGACTCCATAAAAAGATTAAATCGAATTTTGTCTTTAACAAATAACATCAAGAGCCGCTTGAGAAGTGCATAAGCGCGCTATATAGGTACGCAGTTATTTCAAGATGCTGCGGCATACGTTGTTGCAAACTCCTACTCCGACGCACTTCCCGCTTAAGCAGTGTCGAAAAATAATAAATACCTCATTTTGCAATTAGGAAAATTATCTGAGTTTATTTACTTCGCGACTATTTTTTTTAATTTATTCTGTCTCTTCTTTTCAACCCACAGATGATCCTGGTGGCACCACGCAATCACGTCAAACTCAGCAATCAGCACCGCAACAGCGAAATCTCAGCAATTGCAATATGGAAGCTGCCACAACAACCACCACCACTACAGCAAAACATTACAATAAATCATCGAAATTGCAAAATAATCACCATCGTTCAACAGAACGACGCGGCACATATCGCAATCAAATAGGCGAAACGCAAGCGAGTGCGAGCAATAACGTCAAAGTACAGAAACAAACAGCCAAGCAGGCAAAGGCAGCTGCCCAACGTGCCGCTGCAGTGGCCGCTTACACAGCTACTCTAGAGAGCGGCAGTGGTGGCGGCAACAAGGCAGCGGGTGGTAGTGCCAAAGATCCGCTTGCGATCAGCAACGATGCTGCCTCGCCAGTACAAAGTAGCGGCAGCAAAGCGGCGCGAACCAAGGAAGCTAGAGAACAAAAGACTATTGCGAAATCAGATACAGAAGTAGCAGCAGCGCGTAGCGATAGTGCTACAATAGATGCCATTTCCACCAACGTAGCAGCAAGCAGCAGCAGCAGCAACACCAACCAGAAGCACAGTGATAATAGTAACAGTAGTAGTATAAGTAAGCATAATTTTACATTAAGTCAAAATGAAGTGACGCGTAAAAGCGAAAAGCAGCAGGAGATCAGTGGCATCAGCAGCAACAATGGTGATATCCAGGTGGCGCAGGCCACCGAGAAGAATAAGCCAGCGCAGACTGTAACGCCAGCAAATACAACGACTACTGTTGTGGCCACGGCGACGCCGATCGCGGATTCGAATACCTGGAATAACTCTCGATATTTGCATAAAAAATTCAAGCGCCTCGCCAGCACAACCGATGTGGATAGTCTTGTGGCCGACAGCCAAAGCGTCAATGCTGCGGGCAGCAGCGCAAGTAGTGACGCGGGCAGTGAGGCGCCACAAACGCGCACCGCATCGCTCTCCTCGTCGGCATCGACCAGCTCAATTTCACCGCCACCAGCAACAACTCCAACGCCCGCGGTAGCAACACACTCGCACGCACAGAGCACCAGCGCAGCAGTTAGTCTGCAAAATGCCATTGCAGCCACGGGCTTGACGAATGGCCATGCGCATGCAGAAGCGATTGCGCAGCCAAGCCACAATAATAATAACAGTGTGAATAGCGTCAAGTACAGCGGCGCCATTGCAACGAATACCAGCGGCAAAATTGAGAGCAATAACAACACTAGTCCGTTGAGTTTAGAGAATCACAGCGGCGTTGGCGAGCAGGCGCAGAACTCAGCGCAGCAATATTTGGAAGCTGAACAATTACCGCAAACTATGTTGCATATGTTCGAAAGTCAGCAGAGTGGCAGCAGTACTAGCAATGCTGTTGGCGCTGCTGCTGCCAACTCGGGCCGCTACGTGTGTCCCTATTGCAATCTGAACTGCACCAAACCGTCAGTGCTGCAGAAGCACATACGCGCGCATACAAATGAACGTCCCTACCCGTGTGACATCTGCGGCATTGCATTCAAAACGAACAGCAATTACTACAAGCATTGTCGGTGAGTTACGCAGCTGAAAACTGTTCGAAGCAGTTACTTATTTCTTTGCGATTTCATTACAGTTCACGCTCTCATGCCGCGCGGAAACGCGGCATTGAGGTGCCAATAGGCGCCGATGATGGTCTCTTTGGAGGTTCCGATCAGGAGGGTGATCCGGAGTTGAGTAACAGCAGCTCGGATGTGGTAAGTGTGAATGACAAACAGTATTAACAACAACTTTCTTACATTCATTTTTTACAGGTGAGCCGCACCGCTTCGCCGCTTGACGATTTGAGCAGCGTCTCCTCGCCAGCTGTAGCGAGTGCGATAGCGCCCTCATCCGGCACAGCAAATACTTTCAGCCCGCAACAGTTGCAACAGCTGCAGCAGCAGCAACAAAAGCAAACGCAACTGCAGCAGCAACAACAGCTTGCTTTGGCCATGCAGCAGCAGCAGCAGCAAGCAGCTTCCGCGCAACCGCCACATTTGGCGCTGCCATCCACACCGTCGCCATCTTCAATATCGTCGTCAAAAAGCGCCTATCTACAACAGCCCACACAACAAACACCGCAGCAGTTGCCACTTGGTTCGCCCGCGGCTGGTACACTACCGCCGTCGACGCCCAATGCAAACGCAACCACAATTACGCCCGCCGTTACCACAGCGCTTCCTAAACAGATTGGCGCCAGCGCCGAACATAAACCATACAAACCGAAGTTTCACAACGCCGCGCTGTATGCGACAACCAAGGAAGCAGCTGCAGCGGCAGCAGCTGCCGTCGCCGCGGGCATACCACCTGGCCTACTACAACCACTGTCGCAACCTCAGCCGCCACCACCACCACCAGCACAACAATTACCACAGGGCATGTTACCAGCTGCGCATTCCGCTATGCTGCCGCAAGTGCCGCCTACGGCACCAGTGCCAGCGCCACAAAACGTATCCCATCATCCTTCACTTTCGCCGAGTACCCAAGTGAAACTGAATAATCACATTAACACACATCAAATGCAACTACAAATGCAGCATCAGCAACAACAGCAGCACCACCAACAGACGCCACTATACGTGGCAGCGTCGCTCGGCGCGAATATGCCGTTACATCACGCAGCTGCGGCTATGTCACCCAAGAGCGCGGCTCAGCGCCCAGACATGGTTAATGCAGCCGCGGTTGCAGCAGCCAACATGGGCTATCTAGCAGCACCGCGCATGATCTACCCAGGCGCTATGGATTTCCCGCCCGAGGCTTTGCATATGATGATGCCGGAAAGCAGACAGAAGCTACACTACCAAGTGCAACAGTACAAGTGGTTGGAGCAAGAACTGCAGCAGCATTTGCACAAACTGAGCCAGCAGCAGCAGCAGCAACAACAACTGCAGCATCTGCAAACTCAACCACCACCGCCGCTTCCGCCCCAGACACAGGCACCTTCGAGCAACCAACCCACCATACTCAAGCCAACTGCCACAATGCCCTTGCATCCTCGCGCAACTAGCGCTACCAGCGGGAACGCTCACCACGCGGTTTCAACATCGAATGCAGCATCACACCTTGGCCTACAGGCGGCACCACAAACGCCGCTGCAGTACCTAGCCAACACTGCCGCCAGTCAACAGCCCGTCATGGGTGGCAGCAACGTCAGTGGCGCCACCAACAATACCACTGCCTCCATTAGCTCTGGCCTTTTGCATAGCAACATTTCGAACGCCGCCGCCAGCGGCGCCAATAAGGTTGCAGATCTGGTTCAGGAGCACATTTCCAAGCTGATCTCGCAGAATGAGGCGATCGTGGAAAACAAGGCGGTGCTATTGCAGAAGAAATACCCGAAGGGTATTAATCGCTCGCGCAGTTTCAATAACAACAACAGCAGCACCAGTGGCTCATCTGCCTCAACGGCAAACAATTCAGGCAGCGGCAGCGTTAGTCTTGTCAGCACAACCGCCGCAGTGGGCAGCGAAAGCGCCGCCACCAACGCACGATTGGCGCAAGCGATTGTACAGAAACAACAACAGCAACAGCTGCAGCAACAGCTACAACAGCAACAGCACTACCAGCAACAATTCCAGCAGCAGTTAATGGCTGGCACGCAGGCTTTACAAATGCCGCCACCAACGCAGCAGCAGCAGCATCAGCAACACTTCGCACAGCTGCGCCTTGAGGAGCAACACCAGCAGCACCTTCAGCTTCAACAACAGCAGCAACATATGCAACCAAATGGTATTTCCAAGCATTTAACTGCGCCCGCCGCAACAAAGGTTGGCAGCACAATTGCGCATGCGTCGCCAGCAGTGCATTCGCAGCAGCAGCCTTTGTCAACAGCAGCATACCGCCAACCAAGTTCGAGTGGGCCGCCTACTTTGCCGCCACATGAGCCGCAGCGTCCTACGCCATCGCCCACAATGGCACAAACCACCGGCTTGTCGTCACACAACAAGGATATCATGAGCGCGATTCAACAGAGAAGCGCATTAGCACCAGATTGCACCGCGCTGAGCAGCACAAACGCCAGCACCAATGCACTGCCCTTAAACTTGTCAGCTAAACCTAAGGCGCGCCTGGAGGAACCATCCGACGGCGTACCATCTAACAGCTTATCTTCGACACCAAGTAGCACACCACGCAAGCGACAGTCAATCGAGAACCAAATTTCCAATTCCAGCAATGATGGCTCTACAAGCAGTTCTGTGATGGTTGGGCCTCCGGCAACTGCTGGAAGCGGCGCACCCAACGCCAAACAGCCAACAAACGTCTCGATAATCAAAAATTTGTTGCTGAATGCACGCGGCTTAGCCGTGCCGACTGGCGAGGGCGAAGACGCTGTCTACAACTGTCCGCTTTGTGCCAGCACATTCCGCACCGCAGAAGACCTGCAGCTGCACAACAGCACATACTGCCAGGGTGCCTCAAGCGCGCCCATCAGCCCGGTATCGTCGCCGTCGTATCGCTACTTCCGCTCCAATTCGATGACACTCAATCTACCTGAGCTTAAGAATTCGCTTTACCGTTCGCGTGATCCGCTACCACTAGCTAAATTGGCCTGGTATCAGCTGCGCACGAAACCAAGTTCATTGGTTTTGAGTCGGCTGAGCGCCTCGCAGGCAGGTAGTTCTAAGGCCACCACAACTACCACCACCTCAGCAACGTCCACGGCACCGACAAGTTCCACTAGCAGCAGCAGTGTCGCTAGTTGTGTTGCCTCACCCCGCAGTACGCCACCAACAGCACCGCCTGCCACCCTCTCATTGCCCGATCCGAATATTGTGCGATTTATTGACGCACCACTGCCATCTCCGGGACCGCTATTGGGCAAAACACCGCTTGTTGACTTTGGTAACACCAGCGAGTCACGCAAGTCCGAAGATGTGATCATCACAAAAATGCACGAGGATCGTCAATTCGATGGACAGACGCCAGCAAAACGCGCCAAGCTGACGCTGGATGGTGGCGATCCGTTTGTGCTTGCCTCCGCGCCAGTCAGCAGTGGCAGCCTTATGGGCGCTACGTCAAGCAAACGTTTGAACATCAATAGCATCAGTGGCGGTGATATGCAGATGCTTTCCACCGCTGGCAGCACCGACCTCAGCCTTACAAACAAAAAAGAAGATCGGATGCGTCGCTTCACCTCGTCTGGCGGCTGCATCATACCGATCTCCGAATGCAGCGATGTCGACAAGAGTCCCAAAATGATACGCACGCCACTGCTGTCGGGCGGCAGCTTCCAAGAGGTTTCACCCAAGCCGCCAAAGGAAAAGGAGAACAAAAATTCCGCAGCATTGCCCTTTATCAACAGCTCCGCTTTCGCACCTAAGCTGGGACTCTCGGGCCTCGGTTTGCCTACAAATGGACCACAGCATTTTCAATTCCCAATTAATCCAATTACGGCGTTCAACCCGCTGACACTACCGCCATTACAAAGCATGCAAGGTAGTGGAGAAAAGATTGTACCTCACGTGCCAGGCATGCCAGGTCCCCACAGCCTAACACCACAACTGCCACCACCGCAACATTTGCAGTTGCCACAGCCGACACCCATGCTGGGTGGCGGACGCTCCTTAACCCCAAACCGCAAGAAAACTCCAAGCCCTATGTTGCTTTCGAACAACATGAGTCCCAAATCGTTGACGCTACCAGCGAACGAGAATCTCAAGTCGTTGTCACCATTCGGCGGCGTGCAGAATGTACCCAGTGAGTTCGAACGTGCGCCACCGCCACCCGGCATGCGCACTGCACGCAACTGGAATCAAAATTCCGCAGCGGGCTCATCACTAAAGCCAAGCAGCACCAGCAACAGCTTGGATGTGCCGAAGAAACCATTCAACTTTACGCGCATGGCCGACAATGTAAGTCCACGTAAGGCCGGCAGTATCAATGCACCAAAAAGTTCACCGCCCGAAACGGAAGTGCGCTACTTCAACTTCGATCATTTGACGAAAGACGGAGAGAGCAGCGGTAATCGCGCGTCTGGTAACTCGGCTCTCACTCCATTACATGTCGAAATTAGCGCCAGCGTTTCGGCACCTACTCCAAGTAGTGGTGTCTCGGAACCCACAGACGCCCAAACGAAGAAGAATAAGTTCTTACGGCCAACAAGCCTGCCACTCAAACCAGGCACTTTCACACCGAAACGCCACCATGGCATCACACCAACAGCAAACACACTGCCGCTGATATCGCCGGAGACACCACGCCCATCCAAATCTTGCGTCCAACTCTATCTGAACGGACACGCCTACACCTACCTGGGGCTCAAATGCAGCACGAAGATGTTCTACTGCACGGTGAACTGCCCTCAGCCGTCATATGTGGCGGGCGCACAGAAGCTCTCCATGTACAGCGTGTGGCAAGTTTGCGCTGAAAACAATCCGCATCCGCTGGGCTTCAAGCCAAAGGTAGTTATGTCGCTATACGACTCACGTCAGAAGACTTCTCCCAACACCATGGCCGGCACGAACAAGCTACCCTACTCACTGGTAGTATCCCAGCAGACCGTAATGACACCCTTTGAAAACAGCCAGGGCCAGTACCAGCATCATCAATTGAGGCAAATCTCACTTAACACAAACACCTCGGAAGGTAGCGAGCAGTCGAAGAAGGCTAGCGCTGGTAGTAGCGCAAGCAGCAGTGGCAGCACCGGCAGCGTAGAGGGCGGCAGCAAGAAGGACTCCTCAGCCAGTCAAATGCTAGTCGGCGGCTACGAGTCACACGAGGACTACACCTACATACGCGGACGTGGGCGCGGCCGCTATGTATGCTCCGAGTGTGGCATTAGATGCAAGAAACCCTCAATGCTGAAGAAACACATACGCACGCATACCGATGTGCGGCCATACACATGCAAGCATTGCAACTTCAGGTAAATGTGGATGAGGAATTTTAAAAGTTAGTTGAGTTAAATAATTAATTGCTCTTCAATTACAGCTTCAAAACGAAGGGCAATCTCACAAAGCATATGCAGTCGAAGACGCATTTCAAGAAATGCCTGGAGCTTGGCATCAATCCCGGTCCCATGCCAGCTAATGGTGAATTCCTCGAACCCGAGCCAGAGTTCGATCAACAGTCGACAACATCGGCTGGTGGTCGCACCTCTTCGATTCCGGGTGAATCGGACTCGGAAGATTACAGTGACAACGAGTCCGAAAGCAGCGGTAGGCGTAATTATCAATTCTCCAAAATCTGTAGCTTACAAAATACTAATTTTAATTTCCCTTCACTTCACACAGATACCGACGAGTCGAAGTCACGCCTGCTGGAGCATGAAGCGGCACGTGGCCTGCTCTCGCTCTCGATGACACCACCGATTGGTCAGAGTGTCTCGCCGCGTCCAAAAAGTGAATCGTACTCATACCATCTAGGCGAGCGCGTTGGCGAGCCATCTGCAATTTCCTTTGCGGGACAGATGAGCGCTAGTGTAACAACCACCGTCACCGCTATTACCAGTACAACCACAAGCAGTACACATCCCATTGGCATTAAGCGGGTCATATCGTTCAGCTCACCCAAACCACCGTTCGACTATCAGAAACAAGAGCAGTACTACTCCAATCCCGAGGAGTCCAAGCCGAAGTACAGCAGTATTGCTACTACAGCTAGTTACGAAAGCGCGCCAATCGATCTCACCAAGCCACGCGCCGCGGTAAATCCTACGCCCTCACCTGCAGTACCCGCGACCACTTCAGCTACACCCAGGGTAACTATTGAAGAGTACAATCCAAGCAAAGTGGTGCCACTCGCCGGTCCACCAAAGCAAACACAAGCACAGATACGCGACGTAATTTTCGGCAGCAGCAACAACGAGTCCGGCTTCCTTAAGACGCTTATCTCAGTGTCGGATAAGGTGCGCAGCTCCACCGAGATGCTTGAAAATTACAAGAACGGCGATGAGCTATCTCAGGCCTACCAGTACCATAAAGCCTTTCAGTACCACAAAATCAAGCAGATTCAAATGAACCGCAGCTTCCCCGATCCGATCAATGTGGGTGCCATTAATCAGAGCCTCGCTAGCACACCAACAATGAGCACGGTGAGTGTAACCAGCGCGGGCGCAAGCGCAGCGCTTACCACAACTGCGAGTGCGAGCAGTGCCATGCGAATTTCAGAAAGCATAACCAACACGGCAGTTGTGGAAAATGTCAGCCACGGCATTGCACACACCCTGGAGGCCACGGAAGTAGTACGCTCAAACGTAGCAAATAAAATTGTGCATACTCCAGGAGTCAATGTAGACAATGAAGGGCCGAGAGAAATGAGTACAGCTGACTTGCAAGTGCCTGCGATTGAGGCGAGTGTAGCGCCAGCGGAGGAGGAAAAGAATGTTCACAATGCGATCACGCCCAGTGCATCAGTTAGCAATAAATCAAGCGCGCAAAAGGCCCCCCACAACAAAAAAGTAGTTTCTGCAAAATCCAGCTCTACTTTGCCTTGTAAGTCGTCTGACGAAGGCGAGGACAGTGAGTGCATTTCTGATCAGGAACAGTCAGCAGCGGGGCACACATCTAAAGCTAGTCTGAATGCAAGCAACGCTGCTTCCGCCGCCCAAGCCACAGAGCCACACAATGCCAAGCTGCCTGCCGTCGTGGCACAGCCTGGCACCACCGATTTTACGGGTGTACTTTCGGCACCCGGTCGCACAGTTGTCGTGGGCGAGGACGGCCTCAAGAAGTCCGGCAACAATGAAATTCAGCCTGTCTATCCGCGCGTACGCATGTCACCAGACGGTCGACCCGTGTGCAAAGTATGTGCGAAGACTTTCCAGACTCAAGGCCAACTGTCGCTGCATATGAATATACATTATATGGAGCGTAAGTTCCGTTGCGAGCCATGCGGTGTTTCTTTCCGCACGCAAGGTCACCTGCAGAAACACGAACGCGCTGAGGCGCACAAAAACAAAGTGATGATGACATCCACGTTTGGTGTGCCGACGACCTCGAATCCACGCCCCTTCGAGTGCACGGACTGCAAAATCGCCTTCCGTATACATGGACATCTCGCCAAACACTTGCGCTCCAAAACGCACGTACAAAAATTGGAATGCCTGCAAAAACTACCCTTTGGCACCTATGCCGAAATCGAGCGCGCCGGCATCAGTCTCACCGAAATCGATACAAGCGACTGTGAGAATTCACTAATCTCGCTGAAAACACTAGCACAAAAGCTGATCGAAAAGGACCCCAACAAGCTGGGCAGCTACACAACACCTTCGGGCATGGGTGGCATCAGCGGCAGTGGTGGTGCTGTTGTTGGCAGCGGCGCCTCGCTTGCCGATACAACGAATGCAAACACAAACCACAGCGCCATCGTTTCACAGGACAGCGCCTCAGAGGATGACTTCAGCGCCGCTACAATTGCGGCTGCCACAGCCATTGCCTCACTGGACAATGATAGCGCAGCAAGCACGCCGAAACGCGCCAACTCCACCTCCGAAGATGAGGCGATCGTGAGCGGGCTAAATAACAATCTGAAGCGGCGGTTACCAGGTAACTTTAGTAATGGCGAAGAAAGCGACAATCCTGCCGATGGCGCCGTCGGTATTGGTGGTGGCGGCAGTGAGAAGCGTACGCGCGTCTCTTCGCTATCCAGCATTGGAGCAGCCAGCGCCACAGCGGCTGTCGGCTCACCAGCGTCCATTGCATCGTCGAATGCGTCTTCGAACAACTGACATTATGCATATGCGCCACCGTGCGGATGAATAAGGGATGCGCTGCCGCGGACGCAAACGCAGGCATCAGTCATATTGCCAACGTCGCTATCACCAACACAACCAATGCCGACGCAATGGGCGCAGTCTACTGCTTTGCGACACAACAACTTGAATGGGAACGGTGTCACTTGGTGTGGTGGAGGTGAAATTGGAAATGGATTAGGAGATGGACTGGCGCAGAAGCAAATTCACTTGCAATTGCAATATCAGCCACAGCAGCCGTTGGAAACGCAATTTGTAAGGCCACAACTAATGCAGCGGAAATACTAACACGCGACTAGTGGAAGCGGAAGTGTAGTTCGCAGAAAATTTATGTAAATTCTTAACTATCTACATACATACGTACGTATGATACATACTTATTTACATACGAGTATATAGTAATGATTTAGAATGTTGAGTTTTGCCGAAAAAATTTAGCCGCAGTTATGCTCCTTACGAAGTCTTAGCAAAACAAAATCATTCTTGAAGAGATCCAACAGTCGGCGCATATCCTGCATAACATATCGTGTCTTTACAACAGTTAGATAACAGTTAAAACAAATTTTTATGAGAGCCATTTTTTCTAGTCAGCATGATTTTTGAAAACAATATTCGCACTCTAAAAAAATCAAATATATGAACAGTATTTGTTAGAAAATCCATATACAATATTTCCTCAAAGAAAATTAAATACTTGCAAAAAAATATTTACCCTAAAAAAAAATTCTACAATTGAGCACAACTGCGGCTGCATTTTGTTCAATGCAAATTATTTGATTGCGCATGCGCGTGGACTTACACCAATTCTCTACAAAGCCAGAGAGCTAAAAAAAAAAGAAAATATTTAAAGATAGTTAAAAACAAGAAATTAACAAACAAAAAACTTAACTAGGGAATCCAACTATCAAAAGCTATTTTATATCCAGACAGACATATGGTATTTCAAAAAATCTAAACCTTTATAGTATATACACACACACCTACAAACCTACACGCATATACAAGCACACTTTTTCCTTAAAGTAAAAGAATACATACATACATATACATACCTAGGCATAACCACCTTAATATACAAAATCTACTACATAACTACATCAAATTTTATGTAATTTCATATACAAAATATCACGGGATATATGTATTATCTAACTAAGAAAATAGTGAAGTCCCCGAAAGCCTCGATCTACACGCACGCATACATATACAATTTCTCTAGGCACTACATATGTATAACTTTATATAATTATGTGTTTACACAAATCATAACTGCATATTTGTAAATATGTATTTATGAATATTTTTAATAAATCTATTTAACTAGATATGTATGTGTGTATTGAAATTTAGGTACATATGTTTCGATTGTAAGAAACTTCTAATCAATATTTTGTGCTAACTTTCTAAATGTGTTAGTTGTTAGATGTAGTAATAAGTACTTATGTAAATTTGTATTTATTTTTTTAAGAAATAATTTCTAGAAAATCTTCCTACACTTATTTTTAACCTTATAACTTATACATTTATGCTATGTACATACACAACCACACACACACATATATACATATGTACTCTCTAAGTGCTGTGAGTCTACGGGCTTAGCCTCTATAAAAAAAAAAAACAAAAAAAGAAAGTTAAAATTTAGTTGAGAGGTTTATTATAAAAGCAGATAAATGAAGAGCAAGTAAGGTAAAAAGTTAATTAGAAATAAAAACGTCATAAATATGTGTACATAAAATTTTAAATACATACATATGTACAATGTACGCTATATAATTAAACAAAAAATATTAATAATTACTTAGCACTAAGCGCTTACGCTATAAGCTGTGGCTCAGCGGCCACATCAAGTCAAAATATGCTATTCAATAAAAAATAACAATATGAAAAAATATTTAATGAAAATAATTATTGTACGCAAGTGGTACGTGTAAGTGTGTAAAAACTGCTGCTGAAAACTTTTTATATTTTAATTCTGTGTACGCAAAAGTTATGCGCTTTGTTGCGTCTTTTAGTTGCTTTTGAGAGATTAGCCGCTGAATACTGAATTTTTCTAATGATGATCTTCAGTTTTTGTTTTTTTTTTTCAAAGTGTGCCGATGCAATTGCGCATGTCCCAGTTTTCGCCCAGCGTTTGCTGAGCTGACGTGAGCTGTGGCGCTACCTGCCCAGTGTTATCCTTTTTCAACCGTATCCTTGCTCGATTACTTTAGTGACACTGATCGCTAATTGCCATGAAAATATGTAGATGTTTACCTGTCATATTGAAGTCACACTTTTGATAAGTATGTATACATACATATATCGCTCATTTCTTTCAATAATACCATAACTCGAGACAAACGGCTTTACAATTTTGAATTTACGTATACTCCCAAAGTAGAAATGAATACATATTTAGTTCTAGTGAGATACATACTGGTAATCGATAGAGCTATGAAATTTTTTGCACATCATAGAAGAAGAGGTAGCGGTAATTTCTGCATACTCGACTCAAAATTTATATTTTTGGATTATGGCACTATTGAAGTAAATGAGCGATATTTTTTCTCTATTTCTTTAATGGCAACCGCTGATGCCTGAAAAGCTCTACAATAATACGCAAGCCGAAACTTTATGTTGACGGAAAGCCAGCATGGCGTTAAGCGCCAGAGTGGGAGTAGTAGTCCGCAATGCATCACTAATAGCAATGAAGGTTAGCCGGTTGTAACTATTGTAAAATTCTCTGGCGAGTTCCCGCAGTTGAGAGCTCCATAAAACATTACAGGCTTGGCTGTGGTTTAATATAGCCAAGAAATTACTTGGATCATGACAGTTTCCTAAATAGGGTCGGGCCCAAGTACTTGATCTTGGCGAAAAGCGGCAGGCAGGTAAACACACCCAAATCAAGGCATCTTATACATCCTAGTGAATAAGACCAGTTCTGTGTTAATAGTGATGGAGAGACCCATTCTAGCTAAGATCATAAAGGGTGTCCAGGAATCTAAATTACTTCACTTTTGGTGTTAGTTTTTTCTATGTGCATGCAAGTGTCCAAATCTTTGCATATTTAATGAAATAGTCAAAGGAAGTACTTTCTAGAATAAGAAATTACAATTCCGACAAAGATCAAAAGATCTCCGGTTCAGTGAAGTTCATCAGGGGTACCTACTTTCTTAAACAGGAAAGTATGTAGTGTTTGGCCGAGCTTCTCCTCCGATTTGTGGCATGCGCCTTGATGTTGTCACACAAAGGGAAGGCCGACTCCGAACGGCGATTGTATTTTTATGAGGAGCTATTTTTCATGACAGAAATACACTCGGAGGTTTGCCATTGCCTGCCGGAGGGGCGGCCGCTCTTAAGGAAAAACCTGTTTTCTAAATTTTTTGCCTTGTTGCTTTGACCAGGTCTTGAACCCAGGCCCGGCGGCGGCCTGGAAAGTGACCTTAATAGTCACTAAAGTCTTGAAAATTATTTAATATCAAACAGCCATGATTTGTATGGAAAATAATCGGTCCTCAAAATTTTCATAGCATATTTACATTTTGAAATCCCACAGTTCTTCCTAAAAAATATTACTTACCACACTGTATTCATGCTACTAAATTTTATTAGTTTGTAATATTAAGAAATTCAGTTTTTGAATTATATGTTAGTAGAGCTGATTTTAAAGTTTAAAAATGTTGAACATTTCTTTTTATTTATTTTTTGTTTTTTTTTTTTTTAGTGTTTTTCCATAAACAACGAGACTGCAAATGTAATAGCTATTACATGCATGCAAATGTAATTGAAGTACATAATTTTGTTGTGCTCGTATCAAACGTCGTTGAACGCGTTTAGGCTAAGAGTTCAAGTTTAAGTTTGCTCATATGTATATCCATGAAAAAAATTTTGTAATGATGAATTAAAAATTTAAGCTTTAATAATTATAGTTTAAGCCTTTTATCAATAGTGCAAAATTATAGTCTATTTTTTATGCAATTTAAAACAAGAGTAACATTTTTTTTGTTTTTAATAAATAGTAACAAACGCGCTATGCTTACAAATATAATAGTCGATTTGAATTTAGTTAATCTGATTTTTGTACTAATAATGCAATTAGATTTTTTACGCTTCGCAAAGAAATTTAAATCAACATTTTACTTATAAGTGAATAGCAATAAGTTGTCAACTACAAATCAAAACAAAATGCATGTATGCAAATACATTTGTATATCAGTGCATAAAAACAAATATTTTAAATAAATTCTATTTTTGTGTGTCACAGCTGATTAAATTATATGTATGTAAATGTTAAGCAAATAATATTTTGTCTAATCAATTTTTACATCGGTGTGATTGTATGTAACATAATTTATATTTTTTAGCATTAAATGTGAATGCATAAGGGAAAATTCAAGTTGCAAGAATGTAATTGTAAATAAAAATAATTATTATTCAAGTAAAATAGTTATGTATTTGTATGTATTAATGAACATATACGATTACTTATACCAATACATACATACATAAATATAAATATAAACATATAAACATATAAACCACATGACCGATGGAAGTGAATAAAAATGAAATCTGCAAAAATGTCGTAAATAATGATTTTCATTTATAAACTTTGTAGTTAAAAGAAAAATTTCAATTACAAAAGGTAAAAAAATACTCGTGTTGAGGCTGTTTTTTGCCGGCTTTGGTTGGACCCGGCACCGTATGCGCTACTGCCTGGGTAACTGTGAGCTGTTTGTTATTGTTTTTTGGTGTCATTATTCCTTAGTGGAAGTTGGTTGGCTCACATTCTGGTTTGGAAGTACATATATTCCTGGAATGTAATAAAAAAAGTGAATGCGCAACTAAATTTTTTCGTAGAAAAAAAGTTGTTTTTTTTTTTGTTTTTTTTTGTAATATTTATATTTTTTAACGGTTTTTTTTTAATGTTTATCTTTCTCTAAATGTATGAATAACGTTATTTTCAATCTATATCTTAATTGGTAACCTTATTTTTAACTTTACTATTACTTTTTTATCATTATCTTTATTTTCATTTATATTTTTGCCTTTATCTTTCCTGTTTTTTGTCTGCCAATTTCCTTGTCTAATCTTTATCGTTATCTTTTTATCTCTATTTTTATCCTTTTATCTTTAACTCTACATACAAGTTTGTATATATTTGCCTTCATCTTTATCAATAACTCTTAACCTTAATCTTTATCTTTACCTCTACCTTTGTCTTTAGCTTAAACTTTGCTTTTATCGCAATCTTTATTTTTATCTTTATCTGCATTATCTTTTTCTCAATATTTATCCTTCTCTTTATCTGTATCACAACCTTTATTTTCGTTTTTATCTCTGCTTCTAGTCCTATAGTAATTATCTTTATCTATCTTTATTTTTGTCATAATCTTTATCTGTGTCTCTACCTCTAGAAGTGTCTCTATCTTTATCTATTAAGTTATCTTCCACTCTTTCGAAATCAAAGATTATCCACTTCAAACAATGTATGATATCTTACCAACAAAAACGCGGCACCCAAAATAAGAGCCCGCTCCTTGGCCAAAAGTTTGGCATCACTGAAATATATATTCGTGGTATACTGCGATTTATTGGCTACCCACTTATGATCAATAGACGCACGCAAGTCGCCGCCCGAGTGAATCTATTTATAAAGACACAAATCCATAAATTAAAAAATAAAACCTCCCCCAGTTGCAGGAAAATCCTTCCAGTCTCGGCCCACTTCTTACCCTAAAGAACGATTCCTTCGGCAAACAGAAGCAGCAAAAACCCGAGTTCTCTGGACCCTCTATGCAGAAAATCGGCTCACCGGTAACGCCATCTTGTATGTAGTAGACGGGCTTTAGAACTGTCGGCGAATGCACTATGCGTCCCAATAGATTACCCGGTGGTATCCAGACTTCCAAATTCTTGGGATGACAGCATAATGAACCCAGCGCAAATTGTTTACGAAATAGCATGGCCTCCTGGTGCGTTTTATCCAGCAAATGCATTTGAAATGGCCGTGCAGCGCCCCAGAGTAAACGATTATTGGAAGTTGAGCTCTCGGAGGCGGCATAAACTGCATCTCCCAAGGGTGAGCGTACCACATAGCGATTCTCAGAGGAGACAGAGGTCAAAGCTATGATAATAAGAAATACATATGTATGTAATTTCAATTAAAAGTTTTTTAGCGTACAGTCAACACTCGATGATGTGAACACTTGGTGCTTGTACTGGCACTTGTATAGGGTTAAAACTTGTTTGACCACTTTATAGAATCGTTGGAGTCCATTTGTGCTCCTTGATTTCGATCTTAAACAGTATTCAAAAGACTTACCCGCATTCAATTCAAATGTTTGCTCAATATGCAATGATGGTAACTCTGTTAGAAAATCATAACCGGTCATTGGTATGCTGAAACTACGCTGCGTGGAAATATTGGTACCCACTGTGGATACGGGTAGGGGTAATGGTATGCGTTCGGGAGCTGTAGGAATGAAACGTACGATAAGACTTTTAAAAGTTGATCGAAAAACAATTAATAAACTTACAGGTTGGTTGTGAGGTAATGCTGATAGGTCCACCATAAACTGGAAAAGCAGAACACGAGAAAGATAGTGAGAACTACAAAATAAATCCAAAGTACGTGTGGAAACAGGTGTTTTGTATTTCTTCTACTAACGAAATTGTTCTTAATGCAAAATAGTATCCACCTTCGATAAGCAACATTCATTAAATATGCGTCGAATAAGTCAGGATATATTTCAACGTTTTCGCGAATTTTGGCAGGGCGATTGGCTGTACCTACGCATTTGTCTTATAGACCTATGTACATGCCGAAAAATGATAACCAATGTGTTGTTTTTTTATTGAAAGTAAACGCTTCTCTCCGAACTTTCGCGGAGCCTAACCCTCCTCTACAAAATCCTCGGCAATCCTTTACACCGCCTGGCCGAAAGAGGTCAAACTAACCCCAAAAAATCGGAGTTACCTTCGAGGGTCTACATCTTTGCTCGCACCAGAGCACTGCCTACATGATGGGGCCCAAATGCTACCCGTCAAGGCCACATGTGCCACAAACGTGGGCATTTTATGACGTGAGTGTCCGGTATGCGGAGGCACCTGACCACTCGCAAAACCTATTTGTTAGTTGAGCTTGACGAAAACAACAATTAAGGGACAAGCCGATCAAATCGTCTCTTTTCCATATCAATTTTGAATATAACTTTTTACACGAAACAATATGATTTTTTTCAGTCCCGCGAATCCCGTGGATCCGCGGTATTGATGAGCTCGATTTCGCAAGCTTGCGGGCTCGGTAGACGTGTTCATGACGAAGCAGCAACCGGTGCTCTACGCCCGCATATTGAGTAGAATCAGGTGAATATATTTGTCAGGACGGCCGAGTTGTAAGAATAGATAGTATACCTGGACTAAACATTAAATTGAGTTATTGTAAGCTAGACATAAGGTGATTTGTGTCTATACCATTAGTGACAGAGTTATGAGTCTATCCCTTATGGCATGAGCGCCCAGGATACCGTTTTATAAATAGTTAGCGGAATAAAGAGACATTCGATATTTGATAGCGTGAACGACGGACGTATTTTACTAACCACTTAGCCTTCTGAATATTTCACTAGATTTTCGAATTCAACGAGCATTTCTACATAGGAACTGGATAGGGGAATCCGGTAAAAAAAACACACACAAATTTGTGATCCAGTGTTATCAATGTCATTACCGGCCCCCAATATCGAGCAACCTTCGGCGTATCAGATCAGTGAAACATCCTCAGAAGGCTATGAAAGCTTAGAGATGTAGAAGTTAAACAGTACTAGGGAGAGGGGACCGTGCTTTGGGCCCCCAAACTTAATTCTCCTCGGCTTCGAATAAGGCGAATTCATATAAGGTGGCGTTGCTAGAACAACTGATTTGATTTGCCTGGGTGAGTTGTGTCACCTTTGAATATCGTGTGCGATATGTCAAAGTGAGTGAGCTAGTGAGTGAAAAAATTAGTTTTGGAATTTGGTTAGGATTTTCTTTCACTCTTCTGCCTTGACCGAAGAATAGCTGAACCAAAAGCAAGCAAAAACAAAATACATGCAAGTTTTTGTTTATAAACTATCGGTGCAACCAAGGAGAATTTTATAATATTATTATTAATATTAAATTCGCCTTGGGTACAACCTTTGAAGTTTGATCTCGAAAAAATACTGCATACTTTCAAAAGCCTATATATTAACTAAATTTCAGCATTTATGCCTCGCCGTTAAAATGATTGAATAAGCACCCTGTAAATATTGCACTTGCATTGTCTTCATATTTATTGGATGCACTTCAATGCAGTAAATGATTTACAATACCGCCACTTTTTTCCTTTTCGATTTACTAAACTTATTGAAGCTTATTCGCAAGGCATCTAAGATAACAGTAAAATAAAAACATAAAGCAGATAAGATAAGTCCAGGCGGACACAAAACAAAGGCACAAACTTTCCTGCATACATACATGGTATATGTGGATATCTAATTATTATTGGGTATAATTTACAATCATATTAAATTTATTTTTCTTTTTTACGTTTTGTAATTTATGAAAACTCAGACTATTATTTATCCAATAAATGTATATACATATGTATGTATATGAAATCAAATTTCCTATATTTTTGTATATGCTGATTAATACACCATAAGGGATACGTGATAGTTTTTTCAATAGGTATGCGATTATTTTTTTCTGCTATTTTACAAAAAAATTGTCACCGTTATGAAATTCGTAAAACTCTTCTACCTCTAGGTTCCGCATTATTTTGTTGAGCGACACGAATTTCGCTATCGTATTGTAAATTTCGAACAGCGTCATTTTGCAACATTCTTGATTTTTACTGTCGTCTTATTTTAGGTTTTTCTTAAAATTCACTTAGTTTAAAAAATACACTTTTTCTGCAGGTTGTCTTTCCGAAAACCGAAGCACTTGTTCTTTTATAACGAACTAACCACAAACTGATTTTTAAACTGATGAATTTAATTGTGTGCATACGAATTTCCATTGATTATCTACTACTGACCGAAACCCGATAGTATTGTATTTGCTTTTATCCTTATCAGTTCTTGGGGTATTTAGTTATCAATACTTACCTACCAATGACAGATAAGAAAATGGTATTCTCTCCCGCATATAGCACCTAATCCACAACAATAAAAATACGCACACATATACCTACAAGTATTCAGTTTAATGAAAAACGATTTCTTAAAAATGTAGAGGGAAACCAATTAATGGACATTTCAAATTTTAAACTTAGCGTTAACATCTAAAAACCGTATTCGAGTAAGTAATAAGTAAACAGATTTGTAAGATGGTTTCTAAAACGTTTTTTTTTTGTTTGCCGAATTCTATCGCTTAAAAACCAAGAAAATTGGTTATTTTACATCCAAGTACATAATATCAAATATATTAATAGACAACAGCTCAATATTTGCTTTTATATTAAAATATTACTAATATTGCCGCCACGCAGTTTTCGTGCAAATGAAAATGCAGCTGTCAATCTACCAAATTGCCGGCAATAGATGGCAAGCTATAAGTTCTGATATGTATTGCTCTTGAAGAGGGATGGGCGGTCTTCATTGGATATTTATATTCTAACACATGTATCAAGTTATAAACTTTTGCCTGTGGAGACAGCAAGTTAGTTCTGTGCAATGACGCTATGAATTTTTTTACATAGTCTCTTTGTTAGACATAAATATATTACAGAAGACCGCTACCTTCATCTAAAGTGATAAATAAATAAATTGCTTAAATTTATCAGTTTATCCGCATTCTTCATTAACGCGCCTTGGTAAATAATTGCATAAAATTGTTTATTATTAAGCTTTGGTTAAATAGATTTCCATACAAAGCTTGACAGTTCATTTATTAAAATGATAAATTTTTCACTTTACCATGGTTATCATGAGTTTATCACTTTTGTTGAAGACCCCTGGTATGTTTACATAGGCTGCGTTTCTTTATACATTGCGGATAATCCCATTTCATAGCCGGAATAAACAGAATGCGTTTGAAATATACGTTAACATATCATCAGGAACGTTCTGAAGAATAAGTAAACAAAAAAGTTTATTCCAAACGTTCAGAATGAATAAAGAAATGCAGCCATAGTATCGATATTCATGCATTGTCGATAGTCAGCACCATTGATAATTGCGATAGTGATGAACCATCGCTGCTATCGATAGTTTGCCACCACTAGTAGGAGGCATAGAAATAAACAAAATGCAGAATCGAAAATGGATAGTGGAAAAGTAAGGTAAAAATTCGAAATTTGTTAGATCTTAAATTAAATTAACTTCAAACAAAACTTTAGAGCCAACGAGAGAAAGAAAAGAGTGCAATGGACATCGGACGCTGTTAGGTTTCTTCTGCAAGTATGGAGGCAGAAGTTGTTGGAGTTGGAAAATACCAAGAGAACTGCTCCTATAATCGAAAAAATGTCGGAGCTAATGATTAATCGTGGATTTAATTTTAGTGCAGGAGAGGTGAAGGTTAAAATTCACAATTTGAAAAACAAATTTCATGAAGAACGAAGACAAATAGAATCTGGCATGGCTATGGAGGATGAGTGGCCCTTCTATAGAGCATTAGACTACTTGATGGGCAATCGCAGAGGTTACGAATGGAAAGACTTGATGATTGATTGTGCAGGTTTAGCCTTAAGTAAATGACGAATTGTTAATTTTCTAATATTCTTATCTGATTAGATCCACTTTATGATTACAACGAGGAATTGACTGCCAGCCGTATAGATGATATTTTTAAAGGTATTGATCGGTATTGGTTGGCCAAGCAAATGCAATACCAAAAACTTGGTGTTCTAAATTTTAATTAAATTATTCTAACATTAACGCTTGTAGAAGACGGCGAATTAAGTGAATTTGAAGAAAATAATATACAAGGTGATCCTATAGTCATAGAAACGCATTTTCCATCTACGAGTATTTCCTCTTCGGAAGTAGAGGTTTATGACGAACAAAGTGAGAGTGAACCCTTACAAAATTTAAAAGCAAGCGAACATAAGCAAGATTATAGTAAGTAAATAACTTAAAGAAAATGTATTTAATACATTCATGCATATTCACCTACAGTTGAGACTAAACCGAAAATTATTGAAAGCGACGGTTTTAGAATAATAGCCGACAATATATTGCCCCGAAAGAAACCCAGTTCTAATGAAGGTAATATAAAAATATGATTCTGAAAAAGAAACCTAATTAATATGCCAATTTCAGATATCTCCTCCCGGAATGGCATTTGGCCACAAAGGACTTCAAAAGCAAATTTGAAGATATCTGAGACTGACAAGCCCAATTTTCAATACTTAAATTTAGCAAAATTAGAGCTTATTAAATTACAGAAAGAGCAAGTTAAACAAGAAATGAATTATCGAAGTAAAGAATTCGAACAAAAAACGCGTGAACATAAACTACGACTGCGACACATGCAAGAAGAACATGAGTTGCGAATGAAGTCGCTTCGTAATGATTCGAAAATGAATTCGCAAGAAACTGATTAAAAAAAAAGCGGACGCATATTTAAAGTTCTGTTAAATTTTATAAGATTTTTCAATTTCACAAACATTCATTTTTTGAAAACGTGCATACATTTACGAATATATTTATTTTTCTTTTAAGAACAAACATGAATTAGATGCTAATTAATGATTTAATTACTTTTTCTTACTTAGAAAACATGTTTTCTCTATGTGTCGTAAGTTTCTCAAACTCACCGTAGAAGGCAATGAATAATTTTATCTTGTAGAAATATAAGTCCGTAGCTATCTATATTCAAAATAAAGTCTAAAGTTGAAAGCAGCTTTTTTGACATATCCCATTGAAAGTTATGTCAAAAAGCCTTTCACTTTAGAGTTGACTTAATTTTGACTATAACTACGGGCCATACAATTTAAGAAAAAAATAAATAGCATTTAAAATAATTTTTCAATGCGGCAACTAAATTTAACAGTCTTATTTTTATTGTTGGTGTTTTCGACATTAAATTTAACAGCTTTATGAGTACGGGTCTACAATTTGTGCCGTAATGTTCGCTTATTGGATCTGCAGCCTGGTGGACATGCTGATTTATCCAGTCTCGATTTTTCTCACTGGTACATTTCAGACACGTTATTAAAAAAGAGCGTAGTTCAGCGTGGCAACTACATCGTTCACAAAATTTGACATTTCTTATGTCATACGTCATAACAAGAAAGCGACCAAACGAAAATTTGAGTTTTTCATGAAAATTCGGATAAAAGGGGAGCAGGAAAAACAAACCATTTTCTCGCGCAGACTCGATGGAAAATCGTAAAATATAAACACGCTGCGAGAGAGATTTTGCGAAAAGTCTTGGCTGAATAGTAGCGCGAAAGTAAAAACGGATGGGAATGACCAGAGCAGCACGAAAATAAAGTTTCAAACAAATTTAAAGGTAACTAAACTAAACAAAATTTTATAAAAAAAATGGAAAATCGGTTTTATTTAGGCCTATAGAGCAGGTGAGCAAGCGTAATTCAAAGCAATTGGTTGCGACGTATTGCAGTGCACTGGCCAAGGGGTGAACATGACATAGTACATACATATGTACATATGCATATGCATATAAAAAGTAGATGTGGTCTCTTGGTGGTTAACTGATTGACAAAAGCACGAACAAATATGTACACTCACACTGCCATGCGCACGCCAGCTCCAAGCAGTCTATCAGCAGACTATGAGTGGGGCCCATTCACTGCTGGTGGATGGTGATAAACGGAAAATGCGTGAGAGCTTTAAGAATTTAGTTGGCGAAGAACATGGACGTTAGCAGAACGTACTGCAAAATTACGGTCTATTGCGAACAGTCTTCTATACTTAGAAGAGTTGTGAAAAAGTAAAAAAAAAAATCGCCTCATGTACCTTGGAAAAGTGCTTCAAACGCAAATTCTTTCATTTAATAGCTGCGCAAGTGGAAAATGTTGCGGAATTCCAAGTGTCAAATATTAAAGCGATTACGATTGTTTTTTTAAATATCAAACCCAAAAACGCTGATAAAACACGAAATAGCTTGCAAACGGGTTTGAAGGAATGATATGTTCCAATGCAGTAAAGAACCGTGATGCACATACATACATACATAAGTTTCCGTAACATTGTTAAAAATCAATGTAAAATAAACTGAAAATTACGGTGTTATAAAATTTCCTTGCGATTCGGAATACGCCTTTACATCTGGCGATTGGTTTATAAATATAGATTCTCTTATGTCTGAGAACGTCATCTGCGTGTCAGGAAAATCTATAAAAGTTTTCATAAACCTGAAAAGGGAAAAGTAAAAAGATAAAGAATAAAATTAAAAACGACGCTTATAAATAAAATACAAAAAGGGAATCAGCGCAGCTACGGATAAGCGCAAGTCGAGCAGTGGGGCAGGAGTAAAGCAAAACTCAGTTAAAGAAGTGAAAATATCGTATATATAATTTTATTGAAATAGTGGCAGCGGCTTACAGATACAACAGCCAGGGGTCATGTCTCTTGAAGATCCATTCTTCGTTGTGAAGGAGTACGTAAACAATTTTGGTTTTTAAGGTTTTAGCATGTTTTTTGCTATGGTTTTGTCCTCCCGAAGGATACGCTGTTGTTTTGTTTCTAATTATTACGTATCTCTCTTTTTTTCTACAACAATTTCATTGCTTAACGCCGCTGGAAACCCGATACACTTTGGTGCCACTTACATATATTAAATGCAACTTTGACTGGTCGCTGTTTCGGCGTGCCGCATTAACCACGCTACCTACAATTGTGGTTACTCGGTCGATTGACTCTTGCAGCGAAGTATTTAAAGCATTAAATAAAACGCGCGGCCTATACCTGCGTTGGCGTGAATTGAGTGATAGCAGCGGCAGCGCAGAAGTTGAATGGACGACAACCGAGCTAAGAAACTCTTTGCGCAGCATTGAGTGGGATTTAGAAGATTTGGAGGACACAATTAATATCCTTTTTGAAAAAATGCATAATAGTTATTTATATACATAATTG